TGTCATTTAGTTGATAGCACTTTCTTAGTATATGGGATGTTCCTAGTAGAGCAATCTTCTGGGTAACTTGTATGTTGATGTTACCTGGACACTGTTAGTAAAACTGTCCATTCCTTTTCTCATGAGGCCCAGAGCTCCAATTACTATCGGTACAGTCTCTGTCTTTATTCCCCATATCTGTTAATCTACAGGTCCTTGTATTTGGATAATTTCTCAATTATTTTCATGGAGGTGTTTCTCTCAGATGGTACTGCTATGTCAATAAGCACACACTTCCTGAATTTCTTGTCTTTTATGATAACATCAGGTCTGTAGGCTTTTATTTCCCTGTCAGTTTGAATTGCCATGTCCCAGAGGATAGTTACATCGTTATTTTGGTTGTTGCTCATACCATCTGTCAGTGGTTTCAATTTTGTGCTTCTTGCATAACTTCCAGTGCATATATGTCACTACTTGTTATGTCTATATATTCATTTATTATTATTATTATTATGTCCTCATTGAAGTTTTATGCCAATTGTAAATGGTGACATAGACTAGAGATTAAATTACATCTTCAATACTCAAGCACTCTCCTGAATATTAGAGCTGCTTTCAGTGGTGGCATTTTCTTGGTTTCAATTTTCCTTTAGATTTCCACTTTTTTTTATATGTTTTGCCTGACTTATTGGAATTGTTCCTTGTGCTCCAATAACAATTGGTACTACTATCACCTTCAGGTTCTTCAGCTCACTTTTGAAGTCTAGATAATTATCCATTTTTTATTTTTTTAAAATTTTATCTTATGGTCCACTTGAACAGTTATCCTCATATCATTGATTGTTCATGTCAGTAATATCTGGATACTTACTCTGAAGATGGAGTGACACCTAGTCTCTTTAATGATCCAGTCTTAGTATTCACATTGCACATTTGGTGATGTCATCATAATCTTTTCACTCTTTCATATATTTTATGATCTCACATTTTTTAAAAAACATTTTGCACAGTTCCCAGTGGATCATCTTTCACACTCATTTGTGCTTCCTCTTCTATTTAAAAATTTTTTTTTTTTTAGTTAATTTAAATCATTTACTGATTATGTGGCTATCTGATCTTTATTTCTGTACAATCTACATTTACTGTTCTCCTGTGTTTTGTCTGTTTTGGATTTTATATAGTTGGTTCTTATGCCATTGTTTTGTGCTGTCCTTATGTGAGCCTCAATTTCTCTCTTGAGGCTTTCCCTTCATAGACATATCCATATTGATTTCTGCCATTGCCTCAATTTGACTTCCAAAGTGTTGATGTAATTGTTTTTCCTTTCTTGTTGCTCTTTCCTGGATTTCTATTCATCCTTCTGGTCAGTTTAATGCAGTTTATGGTTGTTGTTAAGTCTTTCCTTGCTCTGTCTTATGTGCTATTGATCCTGTGTGTATTTTTGTTTGCTTGTAAGAATTCACTGCATTATTTAACTTGTTTTTGGAAGAAACAACAAAAGGCAATTTTGGTTGTATTTGTCAACACAAAAGAAAATGTTTTCTTACCTGATTTAGATAGAAAATTTGTTCTTGAATTTCTTTATGTTATGAATCAAACTTTGTTTTGAGGATTCTATTGGCTTGACTGACAAGAAGCATTAAAAACAGGCACATAAAAAATTCCATGGTGGTTTCATAGTTAGGAACAACCCTATGATTTATAATACTAAAAAAATATAAAGCCTTAATGTAAAGTATTCAATAAAAATTATCAAATTTTATGGGTTTACTTGGACTAATTCTGTCACCTCTGTTTTTCATTGCTACTCATCCCCTTTGCATAAGGTATAGCACATGAACTTCAATTTATGAAATATGACAAAGTGGAAAATTTGGGATGGTAACACATTTCATCTTTTTGGACTTCATTGGACTAAACTGGTGTTTATATTGATGTGACTATACATGTGCACAAAGGAGTGGATCTTGTTATTTTAAACTTTTAAATTAATTTTTTTTCTAAAGTATGAATACCCTTTTGTAAATGCGGTTCTTGTGGGTGTATAAATTGTATTATATAGATATCACTCTAACATAAAACTATATTATTTGTTATGAACCTGTATCAGTTTTATAGATATCATTTTTATAATGAAGGACCTCATAGTTTTAAGGAATACCTATTGGACTATCATTATTTTGTGATTTGAAATTTTTATTAGTTTATCTAAAGTGTCTAAAAATGACAGCAATATTTCAGTTATTTTGTAATTAAATTGTACTTATAGACTACAAAAAGCCCCTCTTGCATTATCTTGTTTTAGTTTCATACTCCTGAATATTAAACTGAAATATATATATATATATATATATATATATATATATATATATACACACACACACACACACACACACATTTTGTAGACTATGTAACTATGAGTGGTACTGAATAGTTCTTGGCCTGACCATCATAAATAACTGATGTTTAGTCATTTAGCCAGATTTGGGAAAGGGAGTCAAGTTGAGAACTTTTCACCATCTTTTTTTATGCTTTTACATTGCACTTTATATATGTAAATTAACTCTATTGTTTCATGTTCTTTTATAATTTCAGGTTCATTTGATAAGAATTTAAATTTCCCTTGCTTGACTTCAAAGATGTCAATTATTAATAATTTTGCTTTTTTTAATCCTTAATAAATATCCAAAGAAAGCAAAGATGACAAAATTGTATTAGCAATCCAGTCTTATTATTTAGTAATTAAATATTCTGTTGTGGTAATGAGGCAGGTTTATTTTAAATGATATCTGGTTACCAGATTTCATTAGAAATAAACTGTATTTGTTTATGAAAACAAGGTATTGTTTTCATAAATGAATATGTCATTACTAAGTTGTGAGTAATAAATATGTTATCACATTGTGTTTTATATAAATTAAGAGTGAAACTGTCAAACCAGTTTCATAAGAAATGCATGAATCCAATTCTCTACCAGTTGTGAGTAAATAGTAAAGCCGGTGGAACCATTCAGCCTTGTGAGGCAATCCATCTTGGTATTTCAATAGTAAATCAAGTCAGTGATCATTCTGTTGCTACCATGTACAACCTGTCACATATTTGCATTGGAGAGGGGAATCCCCCAAAATAACCTCCCCACCATTACTCTGAGATACTGAGAGATACTATGAATGGAAATTATTCTTTATGGCACCCTGACAATCTAATAAGCCATCGGAAATGTCCATGTAATATGGTAAATGTGATTTAGTTACCTGTTCTCTAGTAAATTCATATGAATTATCAATAACATGTCATTTAATGAGCATAGGGGAATAAGCCAATTAGCTATGATGTTTTTTTTGTTGTTTTTTAGCAATGACTTAAAAGGTAATGGTGTTAGTTCATTCCATTTAAACACATGAGGATAATCAACATTCAAGCAGAAGCAATACTGCTACTAACCTTTTTTTCCTTGTTATAGATCATTAGTTCCCAGCTTATTTGTTTCCAGAAGCACATGAAACAACATTTTCAGAAAGTCCAGTGTTTAATTCTTATAAGATTTTAAACAATATTAAAATCTTGTGTTCAAAGTTTATCAATTGAAAAGTATATTTTCCTGACTTTATCTTTCTTTGTACACTGATTCACTTTGATTGCACATGGCTTAAATTTATTAAGCACCTGTGTTGTTTTCATTTAAATGATATTCCTTGTCTAAAAGAAATAACAGTTTAGAAATGATTGCTCAAAATTATCTTGTTGATATTTCTATTATCAAATTTTGAAAACTTTTGTATTTATGGGCAAACAATCACAAAGTTTGTTATAAGTTACAAAGTTATAAAATGCACAAAAGATTAAAATTGTATCAAATCCATACAAAGATAGAAAATTTAGTGATATTTATTATTTTTTTTATTTAGAAAATTCTATTCATTTAAGTTTATCTTGAATAATTCTTATAAGACTGACTAGGACAAAGAAAAAGTTGGGGGGTGGGTGAAACAAAACTAATGCTCAGCTTTTGGTAATTTGTAAGGGATTTCAAGTTTATTCCTGATTTTTTGGAATGGGATAAATTTTTTGTAGTGTCAAATTTCATTTATAAATTGGAAAGAATGTTTTCTTTATGAAATATTATTAAAACAATTTCTTTACTACAGTTTATTTCCTTCTCTCTTTTATATATAAATATATATATATATATATATTTAAATCTTTCATTTTGAGCTCTGATTCTTTATACTCTATTTTATCTTTTTTTGGCTTTCAGTCTTTGTAAGCTAATCAGTATTGTTGAGAGAAATACTGGTTGATTGTCTGATAAGTGTTGTTCAGATGGATTCACTTAAGAACTAAAATGCACACACTTGTATGTATGTGTGTCTATGTATGTGAGAGTGTCATCCCAAACAAACACAGAAGAAAATTCCCCACCCTTCACCACATACAAATAAATAAATAGATCCACTTTTTAAAAAATAAACCAGTTTGTTTGATCGCAAAAGCATGAAAACCAGGGTCTTGAACTAATATCCATGCAACTGAACATGTTAGCTCTATCACAGATATTGAGCACTTTCCACTAAGTACTGTGTGTGCACAAACACACACACATATATGGCAGTAGTATTTGCATTAATTTACACACTTGAAAAATCTCTTTATTCCCCTTTGTTTTTCTGTGCACAGCATACAGATTCAAGCAGAATTTTTGTGGAAGAATTTGAAATAGGGTGTTGATAGCAATAGCATGTGGATATTATGGATTGCAAATAGTTTTTATTGGTAAGAGCAACATTGCCTTTATCATTTTATAGCATCTGGAACAGATGTTAGGCTTCTAAATAGCCAATTCAATGTTTTATCAATGAGTCTTGCTTGTGCAATATGAAAATATTTTACTTCACTATTGGCATCACTTTCAGATAGTTTCTAATCTTATAGATCATTGAAGGTTCAAAAGATATATTAAATATATAACAGTAGACATAAGTCTTTGTTTCATTTAACCTTTTTTTTCTTTCTACCGACAGAGTTCTGTTTATATTAGTTCATCCAGTTTGCAAGGAGCCTGCCACACTCATCGAAAGATTTGTAAGATCCTATTATCAGCCTATGAGAGCTTACAGGAAGCCTTTGCAACTTACAGTAACTTGATGGTGAAATCACCTGTCATAGGTAAGCACAATCATATTTATAGTTTTGAACTATATATATATATATATATATATATATATATATATTGTAATATCTAAAACTTGTTCAGTCTCAAATCACTGATGAAACCAAAAAAAAAACTAAATTCCAAGCAATTCTGTGTTATTCCTTTATCTCTCTCTCTCTCTCTCTATATATATATATATATATATATATATATATTTTTTTTTTTTTTTTTGGTTTCATCAGTGATTTGAGACTGAACAAGTTTTAGGTATTACAAAATTACTTGTTATGAAAGTCATAAAATGTACCAACTGAAATATAATGTCAAGTTATCAGAAAAAGTACCTTTTTAAAACCTTTTTGTCAATTCTGAATTAACCTTTGCACATTCTGCTGATTCTGTCTGTTGAGTCAAAATAATGTATTTGAGGAAATCCATTATTAGCATCTAGTCAGATTGATTTTTACCACTTCATATGAATGAATCTTCTAAATTTCTCTTTAAACAAAATGGCACCTAATTTATTTCCTAGTTAGCAGCCATAGTGACTATTTCTATATTTTCTTGAAACCTATATCATTTTTCTCTCCCATCCACCCAAATGTAAATTGAGTTTTTAAACATTTGTGTATGTTAACAAGCAAGTGATACTCTAAGGAAAAAATTGAAAGTAGCTCTAAGCATATGTCTGATATTTTCCAAGTTTGTGTGTTTTTAATACTCTGGTTAAAAGTTTCTCATGCTTTACTTGAGCTCAAAGAGTACACCATTGACAGCTTATGAGGTTTTATAAACATTTTAGCAGTTTATGTATCTAGATAAAATTATATAGAAGAAAACATTCCCATGAAAACTTAATATGCAAAAAGCTTTTGAGGATAAAATGTTTTGTAGTATAGATATGTTTAAATAACACATGTTTTCAAAAAAGTCAGTGACAGTTTTAGTTTTGCTCATGCTTGAAAATATTACTGTTGTATAGAGAAATATATTTTAAAAATCTCATTGTCTGTCATTTAGATAATTGATTGAAGATGTAGATATTTAATGGTTCTTGCTAGACATAACTGGTACCACTTGAAAAGAAAACTTGATCATTTTTAAATTGATACTTTTCACATGTGAATCTTTGAATATTTTTTCAATTGTTGGACACTATTCTTTCAGAGTTAAATCATTTTAACCTCTGTTTTAAACACTTCGCCATCATCATAAGAAAAACACAGCTACTTGTCAACTACATGTATTGCCTATGTAAACTAAATTAGAAAAAATTATTAAAATATGAACATATGCCATGCAAATGTATTTTTTTTGTTTTATGAAATCTATCTGGTAGATAAGTTGATTTCCAAAGTTGACTGTCTACATCTAATTTCTTGTACCTCAGCTCAGTCAAGGAAACAAAGCTTCACTCTCTAATTGATGTCATGAAAGTTTGACAAAAAACAAAACATAATCAATTTTTCTTTAACTAAGAAAAGAACTTACATTGCATTCAGTAATATTATAATCATCTTATCAATAAATGTACAAGTTTTAAGAAAATACCAGCATGATGAACCTAAAAAAAAAATGTCTATTTAAATTGATTTCATTCTTAATTCCAGCATTCTAAAAATGCCAAAATTTAGTCAAATCTTGCTTACCAAATGATAAAACCCATTCTTAACAATGGTTGTTATAGTACTTAAATATAACAAGAAAAAAAAAGAACTTTGGACAATTTATTCATAACTTCAATTCCGATGTTATTTGGGTATTGGAAAAATATAAAAAGTTGGATAGACAGACTTTGTCAGTGGAATTTAATCAAATTTTTTTTTTTTATTAATTCTTACTGCTTACCTTTAACTTGCTTCCCAAAATTTAAAAAATTTAAGCAAATGATCAAACACAATTTTTTGTAAAGTATAGTTGGGACCATAACTTTTCACCACTCTGTTGTAGTATATACAAAGATTGATTAAAGATGATAGACAAGGAAGGTGTTTTTATTATAAGAAAAAAGTTTTTTAAGTTAACTTTGTTTATGTTGAAGAGAATGTGTTTCTGGATTCAGTAAATGTAAAATTGTCTAAACATTTGGGATTTATTGCTTTCAGCCATACTTCTGATCATTAACAAGATCAGATTATAGCTTTGACTTTGTTTTTAATATTTTAATACAAAAGTATTCAAAGCCTTGCATTTTGCCGCTAATGCATTATGATAATGTCATGCCTGAGGCAGTAAATTCTTTATTAATACATTTAAAATTGCTGTTGCTAAACTGAAGATCTTTAATCTTGGTTTCTTGATTAAAGAATCAATTGTATATTACTGACTAAGCATGCACACACAGAGACTTTGAACATTGCTCTTTGTTACAAGTATTTTGTTACCAAATTAAAGCTGATTTTGTGATTGCAATAAAAAAACAGTGAAGTTACATTGTGTACATACAAAAATTATGTTTGGCATTTTCAACAAGTTTTCTTGTTTAAAGTGGCATAAAAATGTCAAAAGGGAAAATGCTTGTTAAGTTAACTTTGAAAATGATTCACGTTGGCCCAAAGTAAATTAATTTCAAGACTATTATTTTATTTTTTAAAATCAAAGTAATTGATTTACTGTGTTGAAATGAATTTAAAATCTCAAGATTTGCATAGAATTTGTCTTCTAGTAATGTTAAATAGTAAATAAAAACAGGATAAGAATATATTTTTTAATTCATTTAATGCTGAAGAGTGAAAATATACTTCCACGGTTCAGTTGCTAGTTTAACAAAAAATGTTTCTTTGCTTGAGGAGAGGAGACCATTACCTTTTACAATATGAGTGAATTGGATTTCTTTTTTTTTTTTTATTGAACATTTTAATGCTTTTTATTCTTGCAATATTTTTCTTTATTTAATTTCAGAAAGAAAGGATTGTCATGCTAAGTTGGAAGAGTTGATGAAAGTTTTGCAAGTAAGTTTTATATTTCTGTCTGCAACTTGCCTGAATAAAAAGTTCAGCTTTATTTGAAATTGTACATGGTGCTTTGAGTTCATGAAAATATTTCAAATTAAACTTATTCTGTCAGTGTTATATATTTTCTGCACAGTGGCAGAAATGTATTTTAGTTGTAATCTCTCTCTCTCTCTCTCTTATTCTTCCCCTCGACCCTGTGCAGGATGGAGTTTCTAACTCTGTCCAACTGGTTTGTAATTCAGAGGTGTCCTTCTCTAAACTGATTGCCAACCAAGGCTAGAGAGTTAAGTCTGCCATGCTTTGTGAAGAATAGATAGATTCATACTCCTCCAAGTGTATCAGCCAGAATTGGAACCCATCTCAGCAATTTCTCTATCCCTGTTGCTGTCTAGAAATCCATTGTAATGTTTATTGGAAATCTAATGAATAATGAAAATTCTATAGAAATCTTTAAGAGTGACAAATAAGGTTATTATTTTAATTGATTTCATACAAATAGTTGCATACATGTGATGAAAACCCAATACATTTATGCAATTTCTTTTTAATATGATTTGGGGTTGTTGCAAAAATAGTTCATCTTGCACAGTTTAATGAATTCATTTTCTATTTTTAAAATATATTTTATGCAAGATATACAAAGATCATTAGAAATTTTGACTTTTAATAAACAAGCTCTCAAAATAGTGCTTCAATTATATATTAAACAAGGCTTTTAGACAATTATTCTTAAGAGTATGTAAAAGTTAATATATTTACATTTTTTGTATACTAATAATGGAACAACTTTTTCTCTTATACATACATGTATATATTTACAAACACGTGTATGTATGTATGTATGTATATATATATATATATATATATATTTTTTGCACACACATACACATATATATATATATATATATATATATATATATATATATGTTGGAGTGTAGTATTATTTCTGGACTTTTTCTAGTTTCATGGATGTTATGAGATTTTTTTTTTTTTTTTTTTTTTTTTTTTGCATTTAAGATGAATGATACGCGTATGGTAGAAATTTGAATGTGTTCTCAATGTGACACTGTAAGAATGCTGAACATTTGAAGAAAGACAAAATGGCTTAAATAGAAAGCGAATGCAAATATGGAAAAAGTAGTAGATAGATTGAAGGACATAACAAAATCAAAAGAAAATATACTTCTATTTTGTTTCTCATTATGTGAATTGGGACCTTGCAATAAGATCGCACTGAAATGCACTTGTACATCTGGTTAAAATGAAGCCTAGGAGATGTGATGTGGCGAATGTTGATTTGGACAGTGACCACTGAGCTAATTATAGATAATAATGTCATGGCTACAGGTGGGTGAAGAAAAGAGTAAAGAAATGATTCTGTCACTTGTTGATAGGAGTGGTGGATGTGCATATTGCTAAAGAAACAAGATTTTCTCACACCAGTAAATTTTGGTTAAGTGGGGGGGAAAAGAGGAATAGTTATGGACCAAACATGATAATTGAGAATAGAGAAATGCAGATAATAATTTTACGATGACATTAAAAATATCTGCTTTGTGCTGGATGTCGGCAGTTTGAGGAGCTGATATCAGGAAGTGGGAGGAAAATGAATACATCCACTGAAAGGTACTGGTGTGTTTCTCACACATATTTGAATATTATCTGTTACTTCATTACACATGACATGTATCTAACGAATAAGAACTAACTAAACACAACATACAATTAATCTGAGTCTCTTTGCTTTTTAGCTTGATCTGATGAAGCTTTAATAAAGTAAAACAGGTTATATTGAAATTTGTTTCCTAGTTGTTCTCTATCCTATCATTTTGTCAGATTTCTATCTATACTTGATCTATATTTGATCTTCTGTTCACACACACATATATATATATATATATATATATATATATATGTATGTATGTGTGTGTATGTGTGTGTCCCGGATGTGATAAACTTTATTTGGCAGCAACACCTGATAGATTGAAGAATTTAAGGGGTGTGGAAGCATCTCTTACTTGCTGTTGTTCCCAGGTCCGCCATGACCCGAAGTGGTAGTACCTGTTAGTGTCCCAGCTATGGGCAAATATTTCACCCCCCCACAACAAAAAAAAAAATTAGGGTTAAAACTCTATGAAATTGCACAGGTATATGGAAATTCCTGAGTTTGTGTTCAGATTGTAGAGATAGTGTTCTCATCCCCTTGTATGAGAGAAAGGGTGGAAAGGAATTGTGTGCTCATTTCTGCTGGTAAAATCCTTGTAAGTATTATGCCTTTATGACTAAATATACTGGCTGTCTATATTCCTGACACAACCATCCTTGAAAGAGCATTGACTTTCAGCATTGAGGCCTTAATTCATTGTCCTCGGCTTTGATGGACAGGTCATGTTATTTGTTTGGAGGATTCTTGAATTCCCAAGCAGATCCTTTACAGTGAACTAGCACATGGAATGCATCCAAGGTACAAACCTACCAAAAGATTCAAGGAATGTGTAAAGGACTCTCTGAGTGCCTGCCATATTAATGAGGATGCTTGTGATAGGGATAACTGGAGGAAGAATGTTTATGATGGTTGTGAATGGTTCCACAAGAGATCAGTGGAACGGACACAGATAAAAACGAGCTGCAGGAAAGGAGGAATTAATTGATCCTGAACTTAATCAGTACCCATATGGTCAGTGTGGACGAGTCTGCTTATCTATGGCAGGCCTAGTTAGCCATTGTAGGTGTCATCCAGATCAAGTATCTGCTATTGTGAATTCATTCAGCTGGTCAACTTAAATTGTGCTGTGTGCCGGGAGGTATGCCAATGGCGATCAGGGTTGACCTGACATGATATTGATGCAAAAATCAACATCAGGAACAGCAATAGCAGGTGTATTGGCAGCAACTCCAAAACTTGCAAACAGATGTAAGTGCTGACACATGCCGTGTCTATCAAAAGCATTGCAAGTCCCTTGCTGGTTTTAAAAGCTACTGCCACTCACATGACAAATAAGAACCAAGAATTTAAATTTAAAATAACACCAGAGAGAGAACATAGGTGCAGGGATAGGGCGGGTGGTCAGGGATGGTCATGCTCGTATGACGATTTTGACAACCATCATCATACACACACACATACGCGTGTGTGCAAATTACAATTAATGAGATTCAAATGAATTACCTTATACAGATGATCATTTTGTCCATAGGAAAGTAGTTTTTCCTTGAACTTATCAATGCAAATACATTTACTAAAAAAAAAAAAAAAAAAAAAAGGATCTCATTTGAATCTCATTAATTGTAATTCACTTATATGCTCTATAATAAAAATTATATTGAGCTTTGCTTTGTGGATCAGTTTTAATATTTTATATTAATAGGATCTACTTGGATTACTTATCCATGGATCTTTTACACACACACACACATATATATATATATATATATATATATATATATATATATATATATATATATATATATATAAAGAGAGAGAGTGCATTGAAATTGACCCTAATGTTAAATTTTTACATTATTAACAGTGCTGTATAAAAACCAATCTTTTAATTTATTAGCCAACAGAATCACTATTACAAAAAATGATTGGGTAATTATCTTTTACATGTAGTGGGAGTGTGAGACTACCCACCTCTGCACTCGTTGCACAAGATATAGACACCACGTCGTAGAATTTCTGTGCGGCGGATCGAGCGAGAGGCAGGCTCACAGGCAAAAGAAAAACACAACTACAAACTTGGGTAGGGCGAAAAGAGAAGGGAGGGCATGTGACCTTTTGTGGATAGTTAACTCTGGGCTGATTCTCGGCTGGCAAAAAAAAATATATCCTAACTAACAATGTCCGGCTGCTAGGGTGTCGCTCTTCGTTGCTACTTGCTACGGCCTGAATCCCTTCTTCGAACATAAACTAAGTCTATCTCTAACCCAAGCGTTCCCGTATATATATATATATATATATAGAGACCTCTGTCATCATTTCCGGGGAAGGGACACCCACGAATAAACCCATAACTTTTTCATGGCCATTTCTCCCTTTGAAGAAAAGTGGACATAAAAATATTTCCTAGCCTAGCTGACTCCGATCCAGGGACATTAAATTCAGACCCTTTTAAGTTTTGACCAGAGCCGGTCTTTTAACTATCTTCGTATTTTGACAAGTACTTAACACTTATCTACCCTTTTGGCCATATGTCCAAAACATGTTTTTATCTAGATTCCTAATCTAGTCATTGGGTCTTGAAGTTTGATACCCAGGTCAAATCTAACTAATCTTCTCGCACATATGTGTGCGTGCGCATGCACACACAGATGTGTGGGTGTATATATATACACACACACACACACACACACAGATGTGCGGGCGCACACACACACACACGTGTGTGTATATATCCAACTTATAGTGTCACAGGAGGAACACACATTAATAAAGGCTTTAATTGGAAGTATTGATTAGGGATTTGTTGATGTTCTAATTCGGTTCATTAATAAAATTGACTTCTAATTAGTGTTAAACCCATTAACACAGTTTTTCTTAAAACAAGATAAAAAAACTAAACAATTAATGGACACAATAAGATTGATTTACAGAGCAGAACATTTGACCTTTTTTTCATTTTTTTTTTTTTTTTTTTTAAATTTGAAATTTAATTACTCATTGAAATAATTTTCAATTGTTTTGGAATTTCTTTTTCTTTGTCATCAACAAATTCCATGAATATTTGATTTTTGTCTTAAGTAAACGTATTGTTAAAATAGCTTTTGTGTATGACTTGTTTATTTATTTTGATCATATATAACTTCTCATCCATTTTCCACTGACATTTTGTACTTAGAATTATTTCTAATAATAAGTATGCTATTTATCAGTTGGTGGCATCTCCTTTTATTTTTGTTTTGTTCCCATTACAAATCTATCAGGTGGAATAATGGTAATATTAGCTGTTCCCTTATAAGGAAACATTTGGCATTCATTGATCAGCCATTGCTAT